ACAGTGCAAAAGCACTATTGTTCAGTCAGTTGAATACTCTACATTGCTCATAGATATGTGCGTGCATGCATGGTTGCATGCTCTTTGTGTCTCTGTGTTAGCCCATGATGGACTGGAAAGCATCACTTCTCCTCCAGTGACTGCTGGAGATAGGCAGCAGTCATTGGGTGTCGATGCCTATCCATGCAACCCTGCGAGGATAGGCAGTGTAGACAGTCAAACAGGGTGATGGTAATGTGATGGTCTGGGGCTGCTTTAGTTCTTTATCACCAGGAAATCTTTCCTAGTTGATGAAACTATGTATTCTGCTCTCTACATGAAAATTTTGAAGGAAAACGTACAATCGTCGTTTTGTGACCGTAGGCTTCAGTGTACTTAGGTTGCGCAAAGGGATTCAGCAGTGGCCTTAAGGCTGGAATTTGAAGCACAGCCTTAGGACCACTGCTGAAAGGCTCAAAACATTAAAATGAAGGTAACATTTCAATGTGACAAAATAAAGATAATTCTACAAAGCAGAATGGGGCAAAATTCTGCCACAGGGATGTAAAAGAGTTATTGCTAGTTATCACAAATGCTAGAAGGCAGTTGCTGCAGCCATGCTTTTGGCAGACCCAGTTATTAGGTTTAGGGAGCAATTGCCTTTTCAGGTTGGTTCGGTTGGTTTGGACAGCTGTTTTTACTTTAATAAATTAAACTGAGTTTTGAAAAAGTCATTTTGTTTTTACTTGGGTTATCTTTGTCTAATGTTTGCATTCAGAATAATAACTAGAAAGCTTGAAATAACTAAAAATGTGACAAACAAGCCTGGATGAGGTCCCATATTTATTTTTCCCATGATGTATAGTCAGAAGGATGGAAATTAGGCACAAACAAGAGTGGAATCTTAGATGAAAATGTTTTTAAAAAATTTTAACCCTCTTTATCAGAGCTACCAGTAATTGTGGAGGGTGTTTATATCATAGAAAATGGGTAAACTCACAGACCACACCTAGGTCTACCCTATTACAAAGGTAGTAGGCTATCAAAATCTACTCGCACTTGTTTAGGTTTAGATGATCTAACAATCTTTTGATGATTATTTTGGTTTGCTGTAATCAAAGCAGGGATTCAGGAGAAGGAAGAGTTGAGAGACGGATGTGTTGCGGATAGATTTTTGGCTCTTAATATTCCTCCATAGTCTCTTGCCCTGTCTCTCTTATCTCTACTTTTCTCTGTCAGTGTCTGGCTGGCTGAGTGGGGGACATGTTGTGTACTCTACGGCCCGTCAGTAACCTACTCAGCCTTGCCCTCTGTCTGACGGAGAATTTGCATAACCTTGCTGCGCCTAAAAACAGACTCAGCACCTGAAATTATGCAACACCCACAAGCTGCTCTTCCCACCCTCAAGTCCTAGCTCAGTCTACCACGGAGGCGGAAAAAACACAGGCTCTTTTACCTTCCTCTTCCTGCAAATTCCCATTCCTATCATTTCCCCCTTTTATTTCTCTACTTCTGAAACATCTCACCAAAAAATTTCAACCTGAAACACAAGGTAGCACCTCACACTGGAGCTTTTTAAATCTTTATGTCTTGTCAATATCTCTTTTAGGCCTGCTTTCGAAGGATACCTCTTCTAAAGCCATAGTGGCCCTCTAGCAAAGTCTCCAGTATGTCGACTAAGTCACTTTGGCCTGAAGGGTTTTTATTTTATTTTAATATAACTGAACTCATGCTATCGTAGCCTGAGACAAGTGGAACAAAAATGTTAATTTCACCATGTAATGATATGAATACAGAAGAGGCTGTGTACAATAGTTTGCAGGTATCTTAATCACTGAAGATGATGACTTCATCTCGCCAGCCCTCCGGTTTTCCATTACTGGAAATCCAAGGTTATGTACACCTAATTAAGCGGCCAAATTGAGAACAGAATGCTAATTATGACAGAAAAGGAGGAGAAAAGTTGAGAAAATGTTATTCCTTTGAGAGAATGTGTTGGGGGAGATGGGGAGATGGAGGGTGTGGTGGTGGGGAGCTGATCACCCCTCAGCCTGTAGACATGAACACACACACACACATCTCAGCCCCCCTCTCCTTTCTCCTCTTGTATAGAGGTACATCCACATCCTGCGATCCCCCTCTCTCTCTCACACACACGCACACACACACACACACACACCATCCCTACAGTGGGATTTCATTATAGCTCTTGTCTTCCCCCCTCTTCTTAGGCTGTAGTGTTTAGATACTCACCCCGTCCATGAATGCATAATTTATTTTCTTCAAGGTACTATTTGTGCACACACTGCTTTATACTAAGTTCTCACTTGTCTCCTGCTTTACCTCTCAGGCATAAATGTATTTCTGAATACAACATACCAGTCCTGCATTCAGGATTACATGTTATCTAACAACTAACAACTATGAAAGTACTGTGATACACAGTAAGTGAGTAGTGTACGATTTATCACGTTGATAGAGGTGTAAAATGGTGGCAATTTAGAAGGAAATAAAAAAAAAATCTTCATGCATTCCTTTAACCTGCAAAGATATTATATTTATATGCTCACATTGTGCAATAATTGAGAAAGTATGAGGCCCCCCTGGCTATTTGGGTTAAGTATATGTACTTTTTGTCATTTAGCTCTCACAAACTTTGCAGTCATAAAGGTCAAAATTAAATTTAACACCGTTTAGTGTTTTATTGTGTTGTAGTGTCAACTGCAGGATCGATGGGCTCATTGCTAAGGTATGGGCTCTACAGTTGCAGAAGGGTAATTATTTAAAAAAACTAGCGCCACCTCTGAACAGCATTTTCTTCTTTTATGAGTTTTTATATGAGTAAAACCTTTAATGCTTTTAAAACTCCTCTTGCTTCCCTGAATTAAAATAAAGCATTTAAGCTGTGTTCCAAAGACTTTTGCGTTTTGGCTGAATCGTAACAATTTCCAGCTGTGGACAAAGTCATAGTTCTAATTGTATGTCCACAGCTGGACCCCTCTCTGTCTGTAGCAGTGTGACTGTGGGTTGCATCGCGAGTGCCTCTTGCTGTCACAACCCAGAAAGGAAGTGTTGGGTGCACCCAACAGTTCAACAGTTAAAGACTGTCTGAATAAGACTTTTTAGTAGAGGAGTAATAAAAAAAAAAGGTGCAATAAGCCCTAGAAAAATGATTGTCCCAAAGTTTTAAGCATTTGTTTTATTTGTAGGTGCTTGTTATCCTCACTAATCTTGTTGTGTCTCTCACAGATGGCCAGCTCCGGCACATACAAACAGGTGAACCCTTTGTGTTTAATGCCAGAGAGGATTTGCACCGCTGGAACCAGAAGCGTTATGAAGCTCTTGGAGAGGTAATATGGGTTTTCTACTGGCATTACAACATTTTTATGCATACATAATATTTATTTTTTTTCTTTTTAGCTTGCTTGTCTTTACCTTGGAAAAACTCTGGAACAGAATCCAAGGCAGAGATCTTTTGAGTTTTTGAAAATCTTTTCACAAGTGGAATATATTTGAATATATGTAGCTTCTAGTTGGGGTTGGTGAAATGGAATAATGTATACCACATTGATTTTTGACAATTTTGAATACCAAGCTCACACATAAAGAAATATAGCAGAACATCTTGGCAAACTAATGTTTTAGAGCTTTTTTCGTTTTTCTTTTTTCTTTTTTTCTTTTTTTTAAGTTTGCCAACAATGCATAACATCATCAAGACTTGAGGCAACCTTGGACTTAGATTGTGCTGACCAACATATGGTAAAAACAGTGTTTTAATTTAAAGAGGAATCAATGCACATTACCGTATTTTTCAGACTATAAGCCGCTACTTTTTTTCCCACATTTTGAACCATGCGAATTTAGAAGTTAGCATATTAGATATCTTGAACAGAAACTTACAAAAATAGTCCAAGGTGCTAAATCCAGAACCATAAACTGAACAGAACTGAGCAGAGAAGGACAAGATTGAGATGTACCATTTTTGATGGACAAACCAAAATGGAATGTAAGCTGAACAGAACTGATCAGTTGAAACAGAAACAGATACGAGTAATTTGTGGAGCTGAAGCAGCTGACTAAGAACTGTAGACTCTATGTAAGGTTTCCTTGCTGTACCACTGACCCACCCGGTGCCCCCAAAATAACAGTTGTAAACAGGAAAAAGTTCAATCTTCTCACTTTTATTTAACATTTGTTGAGAGAAAACAGAAGAAATCCGTTATGGGGAAAAATGCATTTAATTATATTATGATATAGTAAACCCAAATATGCTGTATCCTAAAATTCCCCTCTAATTCAATTCCACTATATTCATTATGTATTTAGATAATGAGACAAATATTCCTTTGTAATCATCTTTTTTCTGGTTGCTTTCCCTACTATGTTGTTGTTAATTGTTATGTGCATTCTTTGAAGTTCAAAGGAAAGTGATGGACCCTTTTGTGGGATTACCTGGATGTTTTTATTATTTCTAATGCAGGTATACAGTAGCTCCTCAGAGAACCAGTCCTCTCTGAAGGTTTTTGTTGCCTTCTTTTTTCTTTTGCATGCTTAGGCAGTATCTGTCACCATCTGAAAAAGGATGAAAAACAAATATTTGACTGCAGCAAAACTGTGGAGCTTAAGAAACACACAAACATTTAAACTAAACGAACTTCTGCACCTGACATTCAGAAGAAATGAATAATCATCAAACCAAACTTATACAAACAGTATTTATCTTTTGATTAAAGGACTGATGGAAGTATCTGCATTAGAAATACAATAAAAGAATCCCTGCAGATGTGACTTTGTGTAATGAGAGCAAATATTGTATGAGTTGTGCTGTAGGAGATTAACTGGCTGAGAACAAAAAAGCACTTTCTGAATAAGCAATATTATCTTTCCGTTGTTGTTAGGCCTCCAAAAATATGAAAAAAAAAGTGCATCTGCAAATGTCTGCACAAGACCAGAATGTAGAAATGCATTGTTTTTTGCTTTAAAGGATTTGTAAGGCCCAATATAAATAAACACAAATTCTGAATTGTATACCTGTGGTTGTAAAGTGGATTAGGCTGCTTAGTCAGGCTCTTCATGTCTGAGGTTAAAGCTGTGAGGCACACGAGCATACCTGCATTCTTATTTCAGCACCTGTGTAGCTGATGCATGCAGATTTATTTAGGCTTGGATCTCTTTTTGTCTGCCGAGTCTTTATTTCAGGTAGATTGAGAAAGTACATGAAGAGTTTGTGTAAATACAGACAAGTCTGTTGTCAGCTAATGCTACTGCTTAGTACATCCTAGTCTCCCCCATCAGTCTGCAAGCTGATGGAGGATATAAACAGGCACGAAGCTACGCGTGCATGTAGCCTCTTTTTTGAATAGAGCAGCATCATCGTTTTCCTTAATGTTCATTCAGGTTCCTTTCTTCCCCGCTGGAGAAGGATACCTTTGTCCATCTCTCCCTCTCTCCTGTCTTCCCCCCCTTTAGTTCCTCTTGATCCTCTCAGCTTCTCATTTTCCATGTAGGGCTCAAAGTGTGTATGCGTTTTGTGTGTCTGTTTATGTGCATCAGGGGGCTGTGGGGCTGGGTAGCCAGGGTGTTGCCCATATTGTCAGACACATCACAGCACCAGATGTCCAATTCGCACTTCAACCTTGTCTGAATAGGAGACTGATGGAAGGAGGGCAATGGATGGTATTGGTGTGACGGTTTGAACAGCGGAAATAGCAGAGATGAGCTTGATTCTGTATGGAAAAATATTGTTCAAACTTTGCTATATGTTTGGCATGAAAAATAGACATTTGCAGCTAATTTATATAGTCTTTACCTACCAGGGTTTCATCTGATTGTTTTTTTTTTTAAGTGAAAATTAACCCCCAGTGGGCCAAGAGAAGCTACTTTGTCATCCATCAGTTGTTTGAGAATATTGGTTGCTCATCAAACTCACAATTACAAAGGTTCCGGCTGAAACCTTTGTGATTAATAAAAATGCAATTAATTGCATTAAAAAGTAAAATCTATATAATTAATTAATTGAAATGAATACATTAAAGTACTGGCCCCTGTAATTCCAAATTGTAAAAAAAAAAACACAAAACAAAGCAAAAAAAACAAACAAACAATCCATCACTTGTTTGCTTTAAAGACAGTATGTGAATAAACTGGTATGACTGTGGTTGCTTGACAGTTTACAGGTTTATTCTCTTTTTATATCTACCGATACATAAATTTGATCTATGGCAGGGTGAAAACATGAGAAGGATAATCTGTAGTTAAGATGTCTGCAATATAAATGCTTTTATTTTTGTTGATTAAATCAGTAAATTAGTAGGAACATGGAAAACTAGCAATTTTTATGTAAAAAAAATGCTCTACTACTTTGTTAGATTCAGCAATATATTTTTCTTTTGTTTTGAGCTTGCAAACAAAATTAAACACGGGGATAAAATACCTACGCACTAGTGAAACTACCACACGAGCATTTTCCGGTCTTGGCACCAACTGTTGTCGTAATTGCTCCTCTTCAGCTGTAAAACACTGGAGGCTATCTGTGCAGTGTCGCTCAGTTCAGCAGGGTCACCTTAGCCTGTGTAGGTGTCAGTTGGAGTCTAATTCCTGTGATTTGCTGATAAATTTCTCTGATAGAAGACAAGCATAGGGCCTGGCCCAGATGGAGCTCTATTAAGCTGTTAATAAATGAGGATTCTTCTCTGCTCTGTCTGCATCTGTCGAATGGAAGGCAGTCACAAATTTGTAAACATACACGCACACACACACCCAGTTGGAATATTATAATGAGGTAAAGTTAGCCAGATGGCTGAATTAGAAAGCTCTCTCTCTCCTCCTCTCACACTCTGCAGTGTCTCTGTTATCCATTTTCTCCACTGGCTTTTTTCCTGGTATTGGTAACCACATAACAGTGGTTATGTGGTTAAAAGTTTTTTACTTCTGTAAATCCCACCTCTAGAAATGCTACATATTAGAGATTTCTGGTTGATTTCTGATCTTCAGTTTTTATAAAACTTTTATCTGGTGACAGTTTTAGGAGATTTTGATTCCTCTTAGCAGTATTCAAAAGTATTTATTTCTAACCATCCTGTCCCAACATACTGAATACTCTGCAGAACTTGTGTTTGGCAGTTTAATAGAACATGTATCAAAATATATTAGGTCCCCTCTAAAAACGGTTATAGCTGCTTATTTTATAACAAACACCAAATATACCTAAATATGTATTAATATGCACAGTGGTAACTGCTTTAGCTCCATTGCAGAAAGCTAAAATCTACAGTCTCCCTTATCTTTGCTCTTAGGGGTGTAAGAAATGTACTTAATTCTTAAAATATGGCTATGTAAGCAGTTGCATTTACAAAAAAAAGGTATTGTCTATTTATCAGCTATTATATCCATGGGAGTTTTATCTTTACATAAAGATAAGGAGGCCATTTTGGTTAGAATCTGACTGGATCCCTCCCTTCTACAAATTTTAACTTTCTGCCTAGAGTCGGTGGCTTCATTAACGTCCCCATGCCCAGAAATCCCTCACTACTTTTGCTGAGAAGAGGCAGGCGGAGGCAGCCAGATTTGGATGAAAACAGTTGAACGGAGTTAAAGAGTTGAATTTTAAGTGATGAAAGAAAAAAAAAGAATTAGACAACGATATGTCAAGGAGGGAGGTTTTTAGAAGAAGGACAAGGGGACTGGTGGTTACAACACTGGCGCCTATCGCTACATCAAACACTCACTGAGACTTTACTTTAAACCGTCTCTCTGCCAGCTTCGTAACTAACAACTGAGGAGGTCATTATGCTGCTGGTAGGATGAGCAGAGCAGGTAGGGCAGGGCAGAAGTGAGACAGAGGCACATGTGCGCTAGGTGTAAACAGTCTGTCAGTCAGTCTGTATGTGAGAAGTTTCTCTTCCCCTGGAGAGTCCTCTATCCTCTGACAGAAGAATGACAGAGACCTCATGGGAATTACGGCAGCTTCTTTTTCTCTCTCTTTGTTTCCCACGCCGACTGACAGATCACAAATTCACAACAATAGGCCCTATTTTAATACATTTTCTGTTGGTACACAAGGCTGACTTAAAATAAACAACCTTTCTATTGCCTCACGCGCGCTCTCATTTTTGGAGCCTCTCTCCTTCTGAGCGTGCTTTGCTGTTGTTGCTGCGCTTGTTGTGCTGCATTGTTCGGGGGGGATTTTCTTCTTTTTTCCCCTTCTTTCCTCTATTCTCTGGAGAAGCAGGGAATGCTTTCCTGGGTGCAGTCAGTGATACGGCACAGAGCAGCTCTTTCAGTTTCATTATATAAACAGCTTTGATGCCTCTTCTTGTTCTCTCTGGTGTCTATGGGTAAGTGGCTTTTG